ACGAAAAACGAGACACGAATACCGAAACACGACAAACGCCCCCAAATAACGAAAATCGGCACACCAAATTTGAAAATTAAAACTGAAAACCGAAAAACGGAAACAAAAAATAGGAAAACTAAAAACGAAAAAGGGAATACGAAAATCAATAACGAATTACGGAAATCAAAAAAATTAAAAAGCGAAAGATCAGAAAACGAAAAAAAGGAACAAAAACGAGAAAGAAAAAACAAGAAACGAAAACAAGACAAAATACGAGACATGAAAAAAGAGACCCAACATTCAAGACGCAAACAACGAGACAAGATAAACAAGACATGAAAAATGGAACAGAAAACGAGACACGAAAAAGGGACACGAAAAACGACACACAACAAAAACGTCACACCATAAATACGCCCGAAAAACGAGACACGAAAACCGAAAGACAAAATACGGGACACGATAATCAAAAACCGAAAACTGAAAACAAAAAACGGGAAAAACCGAAAAATGAGAAACGAAAAACAACGAATATTTTTAAAAAGTCCAAAAATAAAAAAGGAGAGTTCAAAAACAAAACACGAGACATCGACAACAAGAAATGAAAAGCGGCAAAACGAAAAACAAAAAAAACTATACACGAAAAACAAAACACCGGACTCCAAAAACGAGAAACGAAAACGAGACCAGTAAAACGAGAAACGTAAAACGACACACGAAAAACGACTCACGAAACACGAGACAGGAAAACGTGAACGAAAAACGTCACACAAAAAAATGACAAACTCGAAACATGAAGAATGTGACACGAAAACTGAGAGACAAAATACGAGACACGAAACAGAAAACTAATATCTGAATGCAAAAAAAGGGATACAGAAACCGAAAAACGAAGATGCAGTACGAAAAACATGAAATAACGAATATTAAAACAACAAAACACTAAAAAAGAAAAAAGAAAACACGAAACACGAAAAACAAAACAAGAGAAACGAGATACAAAGACGATACACGAACAACGATACACGAAAAATGAGACGTGAAAAACGAGACACAATAATCGATACATGGAAAAACCAGAAACTAAAAATTAGACACGAAAGAAGAGACACAGAAAACGACACATGAAAATTGAGTCACGAAAAACGTGAAGGGATAAACGAGCCACAATAACCCCAAAACTAGACACCAAAATAAAAACCGAAAACTGAAAACACAATATGGAAAAACGGAAACAGAAAACAAAAAAAGAAAAAAGGAAAACAAATAACTTAAATAAAAAAATTAAAAAAACAAAGATAAAGAAACGCTTCACAAAAAACAAAACACGAAAAAGGGAAACGATAAAGAGAAAGAACAAATACGAAAAACGGGATAAGAAAAACGAGAACCAGATAACAATATACGTTAAACAGGACACGAAAAACGAGCCACCATAGACAATACCCGACATTCGAGACGCGAACGACAGACGAAAACCGATACATGAAAACCTAGACAAAAAACAACACACAAAAATTAAACATGAAAAACAATACACGAAGAAAGAGACCAAAAAGAGACAATAAATAATGCACGATAAACAACACAAAAACCAGCCACAAAAAAAGATTCACGAAAAACAGTCATACAAATCGAGACCCGATAAACGAGGCATGAATATCGAGACACGTAAAAAGAGCTCCGAAAAATGGGACCCGAAAAACGGGACCCGAAAAACGCGGCACAAAAAAGACCCACAAAAAACGAGGCAGTAAAACGAGACACGAAAAACGACACACACAAAAAAACACAAAAACACAAAGCACGAAAATCAAGTCACGAAGAACGAGACACGAAATCGAGAAACAAAATACAAGCCACGATAATTGAAAACCGAAAATTGAAACAAAAAACGGGAAAACCGAAAAACGAGACAATAAGAGTAATACGAAAACGAGACACAAAAAACGTGGCAAGAAGAAGAACCACGAAAAACGAGACACGAAAAACAGACACGAAGAACCAGAAACGAAAAGGCCACACGAAGAACGTGACACAAAAAAGAAACAAGAAAAACGAGACATGAAAAGAAAGGACGAACGCGTCACGAAAAACGAGACACGAAAGCGTCACACAAAAAAGGACACACCAGAAACGAAGCATGATAAACGAGACACAAAAACCTGACACGAAAAACGACACAAAAACGTAACACGAAAAACGAGACACGAAAAACGGGACCCGAAAAACAAGACAGTTAACCGTAAACTGAAAACAAAATACGGGGAAAACCGAAAAACGAAATATGAGAAAAGAAAAACGAAACAAATAACGAATATTACAAACAAAACGCTAGAAATAAAAAAAAAACGAGTGTTGAAGAACAAAACACGAGACAAGTAAAACAAGACATGAATATCGAGAAGAGAAGAAAGAGAAGTTTATTTCAAGTGTCAAGAAAAAACATTTACGAAAACCACACACGAAAACTGAGACACGAAAAACGAGTCGTGGAAAACCGGACACGATAAACGAGACAGGAAAAAGAGACCCGAAAAACGACACCCAAAAACAACACACCAGAAACAAGGCACGAAAAACGAGACACCAAAAGCGAGACACGAAAAACAAGACACGAAAACGAAACACCATTGACGGTACATGAATAATGAGAAACGAATAATGAGTAATGAAAAATGAGACACGATAAACGAGACTTGAAAAACAATATACGAAAAACGAGCCATGATAAACGTCACGAGAAATAAGATACAAAAAGCGACACGAAAAAAGAGATATGTAAAACGACACACGATAAACGAGTCATGAAAAAGGACACACGAAAAACTAGACACAAGACACGGAAAACAAGACACAAAAACAAGACACGAAAAACTAGACATGAAATATGAGACACGAAAAAAGAGACATGAGAAACGAGACACGATAAACGAGATACAAAAAACGATATGATAAACGAAACATTGAAAACGAGAAACTGAACACGAGACTTGAAATCCAAGACACGAAAAACGACACACTAAAATTGGAACACGAAAAACGAGAAACAAAAAACGAGTCACAAAAACGAAAAACAGGAACGAAAAACAGAAGAAACGATAAACGGAAACAGAAAAATGGAAAACCAAAAACCAAAAATTAAATATGAAAAACAAATAACGAATAATGACAAACAAAAAAAAACAAAATTAAAAAAACTAAAGATGAAGATCATAATACGAGACACAAAAAACAAGATACGAAAAACGGAAAACGTAAAAGGACAAGAGAGAAAACGAAAAACGGGAAGCGAAAACAGAGAAAAGAAACACGAGAAACAAAAAAGACACGAAAAGCATGATACAAAAAACGAAACACGAAAAACAAGACTCGAAAAACGAGACACGATAAACGAGAGACGAAAAACGAGACTTGAAAAACCGGAATCGAAGAACGGAAAACGAGACACGAAAAAGAAGTCTTTGTGATTTCAAAATGTATTGATTTATACACGTTTAACGAAACACGAAAAACGAGACACGAAGAACGAGACACGAAGAACGAGACACGACAAATGACTCACAAAAAACGAAAAACGGGACATCAATTTCAAAAATTAAAACTGAAAACCGAAAAACGGAAACAAAAACCCGAAAAACAAAAAAACGAAAAATGAAATACGAATAACAAATAACGAATTACGGAAATCAAAAATCAAAACAAACAAAATTAAAAAGCGAAAGATTAAGATCAGAAAACGAGACACAAAGAACAAGACACGAGAAAGGGAAAATGAATATCGGAAAAGAGAAAAAACGCAAAACGAAACGAGAAAAACGGGACAAAAAAAGAGTAACAAAGAACAGGACACGAAAACAAGACATAATACGAGACATGCAAAAGGAGACCCGACGTTCAAGACGCGAACAACAAGACATGAAAAACGAGACAAAAAGCGAGTGACAAACAATGAGACACGAAAAACGAGACTCGAAAACAAGCCACGAAAAACGATACACGAAAAACGAGACAAATAAAACAAGACAAGATGAAGAACATTCTGGTGAAAACCTGAGGGCATTGCTCTTTAAACCAGGAGAATAGTTACCTTCGAAACTAAACATTTCAATCCTCAAACATGTATGTCTTTTGTAGCGACTTGTCAGCTGTGATTTATTTAAAGCCCTACTTATATAAAAAAAGTACCCTGACATTTCATTTTCGACAGGTTAATATCTTCAATCGTAATCATTTGACGTGCAGAGTAGCCGAAATAGTGTATAATTAGGTTGCATTTTTGTCTGAGATTTCAAATTCCCAATTTCAGTACCTACTTTAAAAATTGCGAACTAATTCGAAGAAATTGCTCAATATATGACATTGAAAGTTAATTGCTCTTGAAAAGTACACGTCTAGCAATTTTGTGCGCCCCAGGCATCATACATCATACGTTATCAATAACTATAAATTAACAAATACAAATTAATTTATCAAAAATATTAAATTCACTAGGCACTACTTGCTACCCCTCCCCCACCCCCCGACATTAGAAAACTCCTGGGTGGCTGTTTAGTATATTTCAGTATAATGAAGGAGTAAAGTAAGTTACAATGTTAAGTAAATTTATATTTCGCCAGTGTACATGAAAAGCGACTCGTTTAAAAATTGTCATTTTGCAGGAAAACGATTTCACTCGAATGCTGAGTACAGCAGTTTATTTCGCACTATGAAACAAAATCATCTTATATCTTATCATTTTATAAAATCGGAACTATCTTAATGGATTGATACTAGAAAAAGTAACTATTTTCTAAACATATTTATACACATTCTTAAAAACTGACGGTTTTTTAGATCTGTTACTTTTCGTTTGTCTTTAATAATTATATTCAATAAAGTTTCAATATTTCTATAATGTGAGTGAGCTCCAAGCCTGGGGCTAGTATGACTATATACGCACGAACCTAATCAAGAGCACACATTCTTTATTTTCAATATTCATTAAAAAATTTGAATTTTATATTAATATTCCATACCTAAAGCACCAGGTGTAAGCAGAATGTGATGTGGTCCAGTTCCAACTTGCACGTAGTTGATGTCAATTCCTTCAATATCAATCTTCTTTTCCTCCTGCAAGATACGATTCACAGAAACGTTTACAAGTAAACTTAAAATTAGACGTTTCCTGTTATTCCCCCCAAAATAACATACCACCGGTTCGGGGTTGATAGTGTTTTTTCTCCTTCTTGAGTAGTGTAGATTGCGAGCTATTTTGCTCAGAGATCGGAATGTGACACATACTAATCCATTCGGATGCATACTCGACAGCATTTTTACGATATATAGTATTTTAAAAAGTCATTGAAATGAAAAAGAATGAATGAGGCTTCGATCCTTAATTTCAGAGCAAAATTAATTGTTTCACTTCTCGAGTTTACACCACTAATGTCTTCAACAAGCCATGAGTGTTAGTGAGGTGAAGAAGGCACTTGATGAACTGAACTACTCTCAGTAGTTCCGTTCCTCTTAACTTTCTACAAGTTTATTTACAGGGTTTTGTAATGACACAGGGTTTACAGTAACTCTCACAAGACTTTGCCTCGCACACAAACAATACATTGCAATATTCATCAATACAATGAATGTTGCTCTAAGCTAATAGCATTGAAAAAATGCCGTAAAGAACTGCAAGAAAAACTAGTGATGCAACAGAAGAACATACTTTCTCGCATTTTTTTCTGTTTTAATTTTCGAACAAAATTTCAGTCCAACGAAAATGAGACTTGTGCCATTTTATGTACCTTCGCTAAACAGTAGAAAAATGTCGAGAAAAAATTGAGTTTGAGTAATTGTTTCATATATTGAATTAACTTCAAGAAGGAATTACTCGAAAACTAGTTTTAAAAAAATGTACATGACCGTATTTAAACATCTATATTTTAGAACTGTTTTATAAACAAAACCATTAATGTATTTTTGCAATGTTTGCAATGTTTTTTTGCAATTTTCAAAAATACTGAGAGTTGGATACAGAAAATGGGACCAGCACCAATTATTTTACCGTCTATTGATACGTACGAGGAAATCATTAAAGAAAGCCTTCTTCACAACGGTTGGCAAACCTAAGTACGAAACAAAATTCGACAAAATAGATATATTAATAAGGACTTTTTGCATATATTGATGGTGATCAAGATAAGTGACACATTACATTTTTCCCCCAGAAGAATGGTTTTATCTTCAGCTAAACGGTTTATTTCACGACCAAAGACAGCGTTTTCTACTCTTCTATACTACACCGTGTTCTGAATCATTATCAGATTCTTACTAGTAAAAACAGACTGTTCTGTAAACGTGTACCTTAACTCTAAAATAACGATATTTTAGATGTATCTTGTCTCGCTTAGGTATATCGCTCCGACGAAATATATTTGAAAACAGAACAAGAATCGACTGATTTAATTAATAATATTTTGTTTAATAGTATTTATAATTATTTGATGAACTGGCGCTTACTACAGCCAAAAACCGATCAAATAAGCTATCTGCCTACAAAAAGGAACAAATTTGATTGTCCAATATAGTTTTCACATCACTTCATAATCATACTAAGAACATTACTGTTTTAGTATGGAAGCACGCAATTTTCACCAATATCAGATTAAATATTCTGAAAATGAATATTTGGTACACATACATTCTCTTTCTTGTGAATAAACACGTTATTTACCTTCTCTATTTAAAAAAAACGCGCTTATTTAATTAGGCATCTCCCAAGACATCAGAATTTGATATGTTGTTTAGTGTTGCTCTGAGCACTAAGTAAGTTAACCACAAATCTCTGGAAAATTCATACGCCAAAATGCCGGATTTTTGTTTCTTTTTCGTTTGCCATTCTATTTATTTTCAAATCTTTGTATTGCAGCTGAGAAGGAGCCGATGACAAGGCGTAAAGAAAGATTCTAAAGAGAAAGGTTGCAGAGTGTAGATTTTTTTTTCATTTGATCTATAAACACTAATTAACAATACTTATGACAAAATAACACATCCTACGGAAGTATACTTTTATATTCTAAACTTACCGTTCAATCTAGTAAATGATAATGACTTGATAATGATGATGATAACCCAGCATATGACACTTGCAATGACAGAAATATAGTTTGTAAAACATTAAATAATTTTATTTCGTTTATAAACACAGGCGGCAAGAAAACAAACATTTTTTTACATGGGAACTCTTTTGTTTGCACAAGTCTGTTTTACCAGCGTGAGTATAGCATCATTTTCATTTCGATACGAAATTTACAGAAGAATAGTCACATTGCAGAACTGTAATGCTGGTGGATGCAATGAGTCATTTGAACCAAGAGAGGAAGGGGATGCATGTATTCCTATTCAGGGCCACTGAAATTTCTCTCTGTTGGCAGCTACCGAGCACTTTCCTCTTCTCTCCGCCGGAATTCGCTGCGGCAGCCACAAGGAAAGGACGTCTTCTACGCTCACTTTCTCTTCGCCCAAAGAGGGCGTCCTCGCTTTTCATTGTGCTTCACTCAAGAATCCCCTACACATCATAGAAAAGAGGAGTTTGTCACTTTGCTAGGAAGGTGAACGCCATTGGACAGCCATTGAAAAGTATACTGTTTGGACATCCAACTAGTGTCTCATTTGAAGTAGAAATGTTCTTAGAAAACACGGAAGTCACTCAAAAACACATTAAACACCAAAGGCGTATTAAAGGTTAATTACATCTTAGAAGTTAATCTCGTTCTTCATATACTGCTTAAATATTATCTACTCGTAATACATTTCTATAGTACCGTTAATCGTCTGAAGAATTTTGCATTTATACGTTCAGTTACGCTCTGTGCGTACGTTTCAGAGGTAAAACCTAGTACAACAGCACATAATGCCTCCTAATATTCATAGCGGTAATGAAATATGCTGCCCTTTTATTCTACATTTCAACCATCACACGATACGGTATAATTCAAAACACATTTAATATTTTACTTCGTCTTTTCTTGTGTCTTACATGTCTGAATTTAGTTTACTTCTTTTCTTTACATTTGATGGGTAGTACGTTTTTAATTTATTTACATAATTTCAAGTTGATACTCAAGGGTTAATGATACTTCACAAAAATGTTATCAGATCTCGTATGAATCACCAGTGTAGACTACGTCTGCAGCCTTGTGACCACTCAATTCCTAAAATACAGGAAATTTAATACTTATTATAATCTTTTCTGGTAATCTAGGCATAGGTATTTTTTGATCTTCAAGCAACTACAATTTATAAAGAGATAAACATTTCTAATTGAAATTCACGAGATTCGGAATGCATTCCGTATTTACTCGAATCGATTTTTTTAACCTTATATGTATAAACATTATATGTATTATATGGCATAGTAAAACTTCGCGGTAGTGTCCTGTCGCCGCAGTTTTGAACCCCGAAATCATTGCTGATATTGGAGTGGATACTGAATGTTTTTTCAAAACAATTGCACCTTTGACAAAAAGAAACGAAACAATGTTGATGATTAATTTCATATTTTCAGGGAGTAAAATACGTTTCAGCCCAGAGACAAACAAGGGGTATATCAGTATTCTCTTCAAGGACCAATGGATGGATGGAAAACTGAATAGAAAACAACGATTGAGATGAGTCTACACCCACGAGTTCAATTTAGTTTATGTGAATAGAAATATTATATTTGGTTATCAGACGTACACTTTTAAGAGTACAAGTACTCTTTTAGATGGTATCCTCTTTTATGCTCGCTCTTTTTTCAATAGATTACTCTACTGTACTCTTTTTTCATTATTCATAATTCCTATAAAGCATTCCAACTCCGATATACTAGTACATAATTTATTCAAAAGTTTTGGATTTTCCAAATAATTATTCCATTTAATAATGCATTCAAACGTATTTGAACTCTTTTTT